GCTGGTAGCCATGGCTGCTGCCTCTCTCCCACCCCCTTCTGCTTTCTTTCTTCAATATCCCTTTCTTTCTGCTTCCTAAGAAAGGAACTTTGGGATAATGAATGGTTGGGTATGTGCTAATGACAGTACCTGAGCCAGCCTTGGAAGAAAGGGCAGGCCACTGGCACCATTCCTTCCACGGTGAGGGCCGGGGCCTGCATGATTGGTGGTTGGCATTTTCTTTCCTCTCTGCTTATTTCTCTTCATCCCTCTTCCCCACTGCATAAAGAGGGTATGGTTTAAACTCTAGGACCACCGGGACTTTCCTTTTCTGACTGCTTCTTGTGGAAATAGCTAGGAGAAGCTACAGATACACCAGCTCGTTGAGACACGTCCCTCTTTGGGGAGGAGGGGTCCTGTGGTATCCTAGAAAGGACTGGAGGTTCTGAGCCTCACCCTCATGGCAAAGCAACTTCAGCTTTCTGTGTCTCTGTTTCCTCATCTGTAAAGTGGGAATAATAATAGCTCTTACCAACAAGGTTGGAGTGAGGACAGAATCAACTAATGGATACAAAGTGCTTAGTGCTTGGCACATCTTAAGTATTCAATAAGTGGTCCCTGTTGTTTTGTTTTTTGTTTTTTTTTTTTGAGTTCATGGTATGTCAGGCACTATGACAAGTGATTTCAACACATGATTGCATTTAATCCAGGCTATAACTCATGAGTAAGGGATAGTTATCTTCCTCATTTTACAGATAAAGAATCTACAACTCAGGGAAGTGACTTGCCCAAGGTCACACAGCTAGGAGTGGAATGTAAGTATGGACTGTCTCCAAGTCTGGGGATGTTTAGAAATAATACTAGACCAAGTATCGGACCCTATAGATAGTTTCCTCTCCTTTCCAAACTAGGGCTAAAAGGCCCCAGCTCTAGCTGCAGTTCCTCTGCTAGGATTTTTCTTCCCCCAGTTTGTGGTTTTCTCCCCATGGTCCCAAAGACCCTACTGCCTTGCTTCTGTCTCCTTTGGGATTGTTTCCTACTCCTGGAGAAACCCTAGCAAGTAGGGGCCTTTGTAAGCTATGTTTCAAAGTGTGACAAGGGAGTGGTGTAGCAGAACCTTGACAGTGGGTAGACAAACCCAGTGGGAGTACTCTTGAACCGTCGAGAAGGACAAGTCTGAGCTGATAATCCTTCTTATAGACTATGTACTATTTACTGACCACTTGTTATGCATCAGGCTGTGTCTCAGATGCTTTGAGAATATCATCCTTAATCCTCACAATAACCCAGCCAGGTAAGGATTATTTTTCCCTTTTTCAGATAAGAAAATCAAAGCTCAGATGGGTTAAGGTGACTTGTGTAGAATCACGCATCCAACGTGGTAGAGTTGGGATATGAACCAAGATCCATCTACTCGTGTCTGTCTCCTTGCTTACTGGCCCAATACGGTTGGTGGGATGAAATGATGATAAGCAATATAAAAACATCATATTATTATGGGCCAAATTGTGAGGACTCAATTACTAAGGACAAGCACCCGGGAGGACATGGTACTTGAGCAGTACCTTGAAGAACAGGTAGGATTCAGATTGACAAAATGAGAGCGGGATTCCAGGCAAAGGGGACAGTTAGAGTAATAACTAAAATTGGTTGAGGGCTTACCAGACTTTGTTCTAGGCAGCTGACATGCATTGTCTCATTTGTTCTTTACAACCGCACGAATTAGGTATTTTATCCCCATTTTACTACAATGGAAACTGGAGCTCTGAGAAGTAAAGTCACCTGGGTAACGGAACAGAGCTCCTAAGTGGTAGAGCTGGAATTCAAACCAAGGTGCTCCATCTCCAGAGCCTGTGCTAGATTCTGTTGGAAAACCAACAGCAAAGGCACGAAGTTGGTTGCAGGACATGATTGGAGCACAGCCATGGGAGATGGGACTGGGTGGGTAAAGCTATCTTACAGACGGCTTTGAAAGTCGGATCCAGTTTATATTTGATGCAGAACAGGGTAAGAAATAGGGAGGGGGCGCCTGGGTGGCTCAGTCGTTAAGCGTCTGCCTTCGGCTCAGGTCATGATCCCAGGGTCCTGGGTTCGAGCCCCACATCGGGCTCCCTGCTCGGCAGGAGGCCTGCTTCTCCCTCTCTCCCTCTCCGAGCTTGTGTTCCCTCTCTCTATCAAATAAATAAAATCTTTAAAAAAAAAAAAAAAAGAAATAGGGAGCCAGCCAAGATTCTTGAATAGGCCAGTGCTACAATTCAGTGGGTGTTTGACACGATATGATCTAAAAGCAATGACTGGATGGCACCTGGGTGGTTCAGTCGTTAAGCGTCTGCCTTCAGCTCAGGTCATGATCCCAGGGTCCCGGGATCGAGCCCCGCATCGGGCTCCCTGCTCAGCGGGAAGCCTGCCTCCCCCTTCGCTCTGTCCCCCACCCCCGACTCATGCTCTCTCTCTCTCTCTCTCTCTCTCCCCCTCTCAAATAAATCAATTAAATCTTAAAAAAAAATAAAAGCAATGACCAGAGGTGGAATAAGGGGAGACTGGCTGGCAGACTGACACAGTATTTCAGATATAAAATATTAAGGGCCTGGACTAGAACAGAAGGGGTTGGTGGCAGTTTCTGTGGAGAAGTGTGATTATGTGCAATAGTCTCAATGAAAATGAGGAGAGGGAGAGAGAGAAGCCAGAAAGATATAAAAGAAGACTCAGTAGGACTCAGTGAGGGATTGGAGGGTTGGGGAGAAAGTGGTATCAAGGCTGACCACCCACATGTTAAACCCTGGACTCAGAAGAACTTCAGAAATCCTGGATATGGAAGAAGGGCCCAAAATAAGAGAGGTACCCTGTTCTCCACTGTATTCTCCCTCAGTGCCTAGAAGCATAGTACATAGTAGACACACATGGCTCATGGTATGTAGCAGTACATAGTACTTCCGTGAGCTGCTTTACACATAGTTGTTAATGGGTGACTACCACCTAAGAGGAGCTGGAAGGATTTCTAGCACCATGGCTTTGTGCACGAGACTCTGGAAGAGAGCCCCCACCTCCTCCCCCACCAAGGTCTTCTTGTGCCTCAAGCCTCCCTGCTGGGCGCTCTGAAACCCATAATAGAGCACTATAGTTAAAAGTGGGGGCCTCACTTGGCTTTCCTCCCCATAAATCCTAGCCAGGGCTGCTGACCTGTGGCTCTGGTTCCTGACCTTTGACAAGCAGCTTCCCTTGCCCTTCCTCTCACACCTCCTTGTCTGTGTCTGGCCTGTTACCACTCAACCCATGTTTTCCCCAGCAGGGCCATTCTCCTCAGGACTATCTTTTTAGGCCTTGGACCTCAAGAGCCGAGCACTTCTGGGATTTTCTGTGTTTCCACTGGGGTGAGGGGCCTTCCCAGCTAAGATGGAATCCAGCTCGAGTCTATTCATTACTGCTCCTGGGAGGTAGAGAGCTGATTTAACACACTAGATAACAAGCTTGTTCAAAACAGGGCCCCTTATCCTAGTCAACTCTGTACCCTCAGTGTCTAGTATGGAGCTTGTCACAGTAAATAACTGCATAAATTAGTAAAGAAGCCATCCTGTCTCTCTCTCACGTCTCCTTACTTATCATCCTTTTCTCTTACTCTGTCTCGCATCTCTCTTTCTATCACCCATTCCCCTTTACTGTGTATTTCTCTATAACGTCGCTCAGTTTTCTCCCTTTCTGTCATCTGTTTCTCTTGGTATCCTCTCTCACCTTTTTTTTTAAAGATTTTTATTTATTTATTTGAGAGAGAGAGAGAGAGAGCTCGAGCACAAGCAGGCAGAGGGGCAGAGGGAGAGGGAGAAGCAGGCTCCCCGCCGAGCAGGGAGCCCGATGCGGGACTCGATCCCAGGACCCCGGGATCGTGACCTGAGCCGAAGGCAGGCACTTCACCGACTGAGCCAGCCAGGCACCCCGATCCTCTCTTACTCTTATCTCTATCATCCACCTGGTCCTTCTGACATCTGTCTTTGTCTTGCTGACTTGCTTTCTGTCCCTCCCTCCCCCACCTCATCAGTCTTCTCCTCATCTTCTGGTGCAACCCATGGCCCACGTGCGCTCTGCTCTTCCCCATGTCATTCTTCCCCACTTGCAAGGGCGGCCTCTCTTCACAGGGAACATACCAGAGGACAGGAATGGGTCTTGTCTAAGCCGGTCAGTGCAAAAGTAAGGCAGCGGCCTCCAGCATCAGACAGACCCTGTGGTTGCATCCAGGGCCTTGGCCTCAAACCCGTTTCCCTTTAGGTCCCATGCTGAGCAGCCAGTCTCCTCCGTCAGCTTTGCCCTGCGCCCTTCACCACTTTGTGCTATGTTCCCTGGCAGGAGTTGGGGCTCCCTGCCCCCCCCTTTGCCTACAGACACGGGCGTCTCACCTCTGTACCCATCGTAGCCTTCGCTCTCTCAGGGCCTTCACCAGGCTTTACTTGTATTCGCTCTCTTGCTCTCACTCATCTGTAAGCTCTCAAGGGCAGAGACGGTGTTTGATTCATGTCTGTATCCCCAGAGCTGTGCACGGACAGTACATACAACAACTGCTTATCAAATGAACCAGTGAAAACTGGAGGGTTCACAGCCTCGTGTTGACTTGTTTGAACTTCCCCATCACTTGCCTCTTCTTTTCGTAGAGAAAAAGTGGGAAGACTGACCAGATTGATTTTTTTTTCTCAGCGAAAACTTAGGGTAGCTCACTGTTTACTGGGCAGCAGTACTCATTTCTCCCACAGATACTTACTGAGCATCTACTATGGTGTCCGGCACTGCTTGGGATACACCCGCGAGCAAAACCGCCCCGCGGAGCCAACATTCCATGTAGCCACACCTCACCCTCAGGATGAAGGAGATTTGAGTGCTGGGAGCTGAGGAGGGCCACTAAGATTCCTATATCAGCTCCTTGCAAGATGTTCTCCTTCATTTAAGGGAAAGAGCGGGTGGGGGGCGGAAGCTGCATGGGAAGTGATTTCAGCCCTGGTTCCCTAAGCTGACTTCCTGTCCCTTTCTTGCTGTAGGAGAAACGCCCCTGTCAGTAGGCCGCACTCATGGCATGTGGCCAAGCTGCTGGAGGGATGCCCTGAAGCGGCCACCACCATGCATTTCCCTTCTGAAGCCTTCAGCTTGTCCTGGCATTCCGGCTGCAACACGAGGTGAGTCTAGAACACCCCCCCCTCAAGGTGGGCGGGAGGGTGGGCAACCTGGCCATGTCCCCTCTTCTGCTCTAGTCCCCATCAGATGTTGCAGAGCCCGGAGCACTGTAATGGAAAACGGAGTGGGAATCCATAGTCCCTGGGTTCTAGTCCTCGGCTACTTACTGCCAATTCTCTACGACTTTGGGACAGTCCCTTCCCTTCTAGAAAATGTTTCCTTGAAATACTTGCCTCACGTGGCTTGCAAGACACCACACTCTCCTGCTTCGCATCCTACTTCAGCGGCTGCTCCTTTGCCCTCCTTTCCCCTGGTTCTTCCTCACCACCCCCCCGCCCCGCCCCGCCCGGTCTCTTAATGCAGGAGGGCACGGGGGCTCAGTTCTGGTCCTCTTCCCTAGCTACAGTGACTCACTGGTGATCTCATCCAGAGTTCATCAGCTCTGTCACAGAGCCAAAGCCTTCAGACTGGGCACCTCCCTGAATAACAGGGTCTACTTGCCATGAGGATCTCTCAATTCACTGGGGCCTGGTATTGCCTGTTGTCAAAGCAGCTGCCCAGAAGAGGCAGAGAACTTTTTCTGTGAAAACCCAGAGCGAGCAAAGTTGACCTTTCCCTTCCACACCAAGATCTTCCCTCTCAGGAGGAATTTCTGTTGATGAGGCTCAGGGAAGCCACGTGCTGAGTCTGCCCCCAGTCAATGACTTTATTTGGCTTCAGAAGACAGGGGCTCCGAGCACAGGCGGAGGCAGTTTTGTTCTGAAAGAATACACTGAAACGTATTCTGAGCTTGGCTCCTGTTTGAGTGGGGGTGTGGTTGTTTGCAGCAGGAAGGGTGGCAGGGTGGGTGGCAGGATCCCTTGCCAACAAGGGACTGATGGATTCTTAGCCCAGAGGTCAAGTGAGCAGAGTGGCTAAGGGGCGAGCAGGGAGCAAGGATTAAGGAAGGCTGATCTGAGGGTCTTGTGGGCCCCTGCCACCGCTCATTTCTGGCTTTCTGAACTGTGGCCTTTCTGAGAACAGTCTGCGACCTCTGGGGTTCTAGTCATCGGGAGTTACTGGCATGACTTGGCTCACTTTGGCTTTGTTTGTGGGAAATGGTACTTAAAATTCAAGATTGTGTCTGATCACGGTCCCTTCCTTGGTCTCCCTGGTTTGGGCTTTGCTGTGGGGGGATGAGGGAGGGAAGGGTGGGCAGCAACTCTAATGTCAACAGTAGCAGTACAGAGGGTGCTGATAACAAATAGCAATTAAAACAAAAAGCAAACGGGCAGCAGCTAACGTGTATTGAACCTTTTCTAGGTGCCTGGACTGTGACAAGAGCTTCACGTTTATTAACTGATTTCACCCACAAAGCAACCCTCTGATACAGATATTATTATTAGTCCCATTTTTTAAAAGATCTTATTTATTTATTTGAGAGCGAGAGATAGAGACAGAGAGGCAGAGCAAGAGCAGAGGGAGAGGGAGAAGCTGACTCCCCACTGAGCAGGGAACCCGATGCAGGGCTCGATCCCAGGACCCTGAGATCATGCCCGAGCCAAAGGCAGACGCTTAACCGACTGAGCCACCCAGATGCCCCTTGTTAGTCCCACTTAACAAATAGTGCAGCAGAAGAGCTAAGACACTGGACTCATAGAGGCTTGGGTTCAAATTCGAGCTCTGCTTCTTTAGCACCTTCATGAGCTGGTCAGTTTACCTCGCTAAGCTTGTTTTTTGGCTGTAAGGTGGCGATAATAATCTCTCCCCTTCAGTTTGAAATGAGACATCATAAAGTGCTGGCACATTGTTGGCCCTTGGTAAATGGTCAGGCTTACTAGTATCAAGAAGAAAACGGGGCGTTGCCGAAATTCCGGCCCTGTCTGGGTCACAAGCTACAGCTGGGTGATCTTGAGAAAAATCGCCTCCTCAGAATCACTTCCTTTTGCAGGGCTTGCTTTACTCCAGCCGTTCTCAAAAGTGTAGTCGCTGGACCAGCAAAGAGTACCAGCATCACCTGGGAACTTGTTAGAAGGACAAATTCTCAGGGTGCACCCAGACGTAGCGCTCGGGGGATGGGACCCAGGGACGTGTGTTTGGACGAGCCCTCCCTGTGCCCCCTGATGCACACTCAAACTCAGCAGCCCGCCGATTTACAAAATGGGCTGGCTGAAATTGAATCAACCCCTTAGAGACCCTCTCTGATACTAATATTCTATGATTGTCTCTCCTGGCCGAGAGCCACATGCTGACTCCCTAAGGACGGTGACAGGCCAGAAGCCATTCTAGACTCACTGGCGGCAGGGAAACAGCATAAGCGCCAATGGAATTCTTACACTTTTAGTCTCTGGGATCTTGCCCTCTCCTGCTCCCATACGTTGTCTTGTGTCCCATTTTACCACATCTCTGTGGCGCCCCCGTGTCCATATCTTTTGCTGTTTCCCTTGCTTCCTTTGTGGCCTTATCGCCTTCTTATTTGCGGCATGGGTGTTCTGCCTTCTCTGGGTTGTTCTGCCTTCTCCCGTGGCAGGGCTGGCCGAGGTGGGAAGGGGATCTGGTCATTTGGCTGACTAACCAGTGTGCCCTGTGTCTTGCAGTGACGTGTGTGTGCAGTGGTGCCCACTTTCCCGCCACTGCAGCACTGAGAAAAGCAGCTCCATTGGCAGCATGGAGAGCCTGGAACAACCAGGCCAAGCTACCTATGAGGGCCACCTCTTGCCCATTGATCAGAACATGTACCCAAACCAGCGTGACTCAGCCTATAGCTCCTTCTCAGCCAGCTCAAACGCCTCTGACTGCGCCCTTTCCCTCAGGCCAGAGGAGCCGGGCTCAGCAGACTGCCTCATGCAAGGCCCGGGGCCAACTAAAGCCCCTGATGGCCAGCCCAGTGTGACCGAGACCTCAGGAGGTAGCCGGCGCACCGACGGGGGCCACCTGACTCCCAGCTCCCAGATGTCATCCCGCCTGCAGGAGGCCCACCCCTCAGGGCCTGCCAAGGCTGCCGGAGGTCCACCACAGCCTCCAGTGAGGCGAGATAGTCTCCAGGCCTCCAGAGCCCAGCTCCTCAACGGAGAGCAGCGCAGGGCTTCTGAGCCTGGGCACTCGTCACAGCAGAAGGAGAAAGTGAGCTTAGACACCGTGCTATCCCCAAGGAACCCTAACAGGTTCTGCTGCCTCAGCGGGCAAGACCAAGTGACAAACGAGGGCCATCAGAACTGTGAGCTCAGCCAAGCTCCTGAACCCAGCCAGCAGGACTCTGAGCGTCTACTGATGGAGGCCTCAGCCAAAGCGGTCGGATTCCCAAAAGTGTATGACAAAGCTTCCAGCAGAGATTCCAGCCCCCTCAACAAGGCTTCAGCCGAGCTAGCTAAGGCTTCTTCTTTTGGCAGCTCTTCACACGTCACAGGACCCACAGGGCACCGCCACAGTGCCCCGGAACAGCTGCTGGCGTCCCACTTACAGCATGTACACCTTGATACCAGGGGCAGCAAGGGCATGGAGCTCCCAGCCAGGCAGGCTGGCCATGAGTGGACTCTGTCACCTTTGCATGGCAACCATGCAGGGAAGAAAAGTCCATGTGCCCCTACAGGAGGAGCCCAGGACCAGCCCAGCAAAGACGGAAAGGCCAGGCAGGTGGATGATAGGCCCTTGGGTTCAGGGCATCCGAGCCCAAGCAGTTGCCCACACACAGAGGCTGACGGACACCCTCAGGAAAAAGGCTTCCAAGACCCGAGCAGAGCGTGCCGAGCAGGCAGTGAACTAGCCAGCCAGCAGCCCTCCTGTGCCTCTGGATCCCTTGTTCCGCAAGCCAGGGACTGTTCTTCAACCACTAAAGGGGCTGGTAGCACAGGGGCCACTGAAGAAGGGGACAGCAAACCCAAGGAATGTGGCCGGGGGGGTGGTAGGCGGAACGGAGGGCCCCGGGGCCGCTCAGTCCAAAACCGGCGGAAGAGTGAGCGTTTTGCTACCAATCTGCGTAATGAAATCCAGAGGAGGAAGGCCCAGCTCCAGAAAAGCAAGAATCCCTTGCCGCAGCTGTGTGACACTAAGGAGCCAGTGCAGGAGACCGAGGAGCCCCTAGAAAGTACTCCACCTCCTGCCTCCGGCTCATCTCTTCTGTCCTCATGTAAAAAACCACCTGGCCCCAGAGACAAGCTCTTCAACAGGAGCATGATCCTCAGGGCTCGGTCTTCAGAGTGCCTCAGCCAAGCCCCGGAGAGCCATGAATCTAGGATGGGTTTGGAGGGACAAATAAGCCCCGGCCGGAGGCCTGGCCAGCCCTCCGTGAGCCTGAACACCTGGTGGAAAGCATCGGACCCCTCCTCCTCAGACTCTGAGAAGACAAGCGTTCACCGTGGAGCCCGTGGAGGTCACTGGAGGTGGTCTCCAGAGCACAACCTGCAGCCACACGTGACACTAGCCGTGGAAGGCCCTCCTAACCCAGGTGACAGCAAGGAATTGAAGGCTTCTGCTGCCCAAGCTGGGGAGGAAGCCATCCTCTTGCCCTTTGCCGACAGAAGAAAGTTCTTTGAAGAGAGTAGCAAATCCTTATCTACATCTCATTTGCCAGGTTTAACCACTCATAGCAATAAGACTTTTACCCAGAGACCAAAACCTATAGACCCAAACTTCCAGCCGATGAGCTCCAGCTATAGGGAATTGAGGCGCCATCCGATGGACCAGTCCTACCATTCCACAGACCAGCCATATCGTGCCCCAGACCAATCCTATCATTCTCTGTCACCCCTTCAGCCAGAAACCCCCACCTACTCAGAATGTTTTGCAAGCAAAGGTCTAGAACAATCCATGTGCTGCAAGCCACTGCGCTGCGGTGATTTTGATTACCGCAGGACCTGCTCTTACTCCTGCAGCATCCAGGGAGCTGTAGTCCATGACGCTTGCATTTATTGTTCTGGGGAACTCTGCCCTGCTCTGCGAAAGAGAAACATGATGCCAAACTGCTACAACTGTCGATGCCACCACCACCCATGTGTCCGGTGTTCAGCTTGCTGTCATAATCCCCCGCACGGTGGCCCTGAGGATGGCAGCCTGGCGCCCGGCAACACCTGGAAGCCCAGGAAGCCGACAGTGCAGGTGAGGCCTTGGTTCTTGGATGGGTTTGCTTCGTTCTTCTCCCGGTGAGGAGAAAGCGAGGGAGATCCCTGGAAAATATCACAATTCCAATCCCTTGAAACTGTACAGACCCTGGCTTCACCAAACGCTATTTTCATAACCCTGGGCAAGACGCTCGGCCACCACAGTTGCAGTTAACCCAGCTTGAGAGTTAGGTGAAAATAGCATTTTCTTCACAAAACGGACAGAACCGGGATTTGTATCCTGACTGTAAAACAGGTATCTGAGTGACCTTGAGCAAGTCGTGCAACCACCAGAACTTGCAATCGCATGATTTTGAAAGGGCAAAAGAGAGAATTTTTGCCTCATAAAATGGCCAGTGCTGAGAAAAGTCTTATGACCTCATCTCTAAAGACGGGCGGAAATAATGGCTGCCTCATAGATCCAGTTGTAAGGATCAAAACAGGCCCAGTGCCTGACAGAAAATAGCACTTATTCCCTTCCATTTCCTGCTTACAAACTACTTGGAGCGGCAAACTTTGCAGATGTCCCCCGGGGTTCTGCTTTTAGAGATTTGACCTGTCTGGGTTTCTAAAGAACAAATCCTTATGCCCTTCTCCAGCCTATCTTTGTCAGAGACCCAGGGCTAGACTAGCCGTTGCTATACCCTGGTTATGGCCTACCACCCCAACACAGGCCACCACCATCCCCCAGGGTACTTCTGACAGGATCTCCTATGTCCTTCCTGATCCCTGCCACATTCCTACCCCATGGCTTCCCTAGCACCACCTCTTGGCTGGCGCACTCAAATCAGAAGTGAATTCCTGTGTCGAAATGTTATTGCCTAGGCAGACACTTCTGAATGACTCAGTGTATGAAATTTCTCAATACGCATTCTTTGAAAAAAAGGAACCTGAGGGGTGAAAGAAGCCTTACCCAAAAGAGTATATGCTATTCCTTTTATGTAACATTCTAGAACAGCTCTTCAGTGGGAAACAAGTTCAAAACAGTGGTTACCTACAGAAGGTGCCACAGAGATTGAGGGGAAAAGGCATGAGGGAACATTGTCAGATGCTGATAATGTTCTGTATCTCGGTAAGCGTTTGAGTTACCCAGGTGTATGCATTCATGAAACCTCAACAAATGTACACTGAATATTTGCGCATTTCACTGGAGGTAAATTTTGCCTAAAAACATTAGAAACAAATATCAAACTTTATTTAATGATACAGATGCTGACATTTTTGAGCTATACTGATGTACACAACTTAACGGTTTTCAGCATACAAATGTGGCACCTATTTTGTTATTTATCCTTAGGATTTCATGTTTTTGTTGCTACTGTAAATAGTATTGTTTCCTTAATATCAAGTTCAAATTCATTTTAATACTATATGGAAATAACAATTTAATTCTGTGTGTTGGCCTTGTATCCTGCAACCTTGCGGAACTCACTTATAAGTTCTGGTAGCTTTGTGGTAGATTTAAAAAAAATTTTCTACATAGACAATCATGTCATCTGCAAATGAAATTGGTTTTTACCTTCCCTTCCACTGTGTATGCCTTTTCTAGGGGAGGGGGGCCTTACTGCGCCATCTAGGACCTCCGATACAATGTTTCGTAGAAGTGGTAAGTGTGGCCAGTGTTGCTTTGTTCCTAATCTTGCTCTATTAAGTTTGATGTGATCTGTAGGTTTTTCGTAGGTGCCCTTTGGGAGGTTGAGGAAGTTCCTTTTCATTCCTAGTTTGCTGAGAACTTTTATCAGGAGTGGATGCTGGATTTTCTAAAGCACTTTGTCTATAGCTACTGAAATGATCCTATAGTTTTCTCTTTTACTCTGTTGATACGGTGAATTATAATTGATTGATTTTTGAAATAAGAACTAGACTAGCATTGCCAGATTAAATCCTACTTGGTCATGACATAGTATCCTTTTTCTATGTTACTAGATTTGATTTACGAATATTTCATTAAGGATTTTTGTGTTTATGTTAATCAGGGATTTAATCTGTAGTTTTCTTATATTGTCCTTGTCTGGTTTTCATGTCAAGGTGCTGGCCTTACCAAATACGTTGGGAGGTGGCCCCTCCTCTTCCATCTTCAAGAAGAGTTTGCATTCAATTGGTATTATTTCTTCCTTAAGTGTTTAGTAGAATTTATCATCGAAGGCATCGGGACCTGGAGTTTTCTTCGTGGAAAGATTTTAAGCTACAGATCCCATTTCTTTACTAGATATAGGTCATTTCGGTCACCTCTTTCTTCTTGAGTCAAGAAATCTTTCTATTTCCTTTACGTTTTCAAATTTCTGGGGATAAAGTTGTCACTTACTTTCCAATACAATAAGAAGGTAAGACAGATTGGTGGACGGATTGAGGAGTGAACAGGCCGTTTTAGTAAAATATTAATTGTCACATCTAAGTGGTGGATATATGGGTAATTGTATAAACTTGTTCAACTTTTCTGTATGCTTGAAAAGATTTATAACGAAATGTTGAAGCAAAGAGGAGAAGAAATATAAAATAATGGCTAGAGGGCACTGATGCGGGAACCAGACCGCCTGTATTCAAATCCCCAAGCTTTCCCATCTCGAAAAAACACGCAGGTGATAGTACCTACTTCATAAGTTGGTTGTGAGAATTAAATGATGAAACATGTGTAAAGCCCTTAGAACAGTGACTACTGGATAGTAATCATCTTGTAAGTGTGAGTGATTTTCTCCTAAAACCAGGGGAGATTTTGGCTTAGCTTGAAACACTTGCCGAAAGAAGGTTCTGCAAGTAGACAGTAGAGAAACGGGGCTGAAGCTGGAAGAGAGGAAATGATGGCTTGCCGAATTTGTCAGCCCAGAGCTAGTAACTCCCTAGGGGAAGGAGGTGAAAGTTCCAGGTTGCAGCAGTTGGCAGCGGCAATGGAGGTGTGCCCACACCATGCCTCTCCTTTTGTGTCCTGAGGGAGGGAGACACACTGGGCCCCCAGTGCCTGTTAGACCAGCTCAGCAGGTCTGCTTAGACACTAGGCTTTCAGATACGTGGAGCCATTTCATGCCCATTTCTACCCTGCCACCTGACCCCACACACGTACACACCCCAGACAGAGGGAAAACTTGCAGCATGGGATAGGACACCCCAGCTCAAATGACCAATTGTATGACACAAGGTATAATAGGATCCCCATTTTATAGCCAGGGAAGCTGAGGCTCAGAGGGGTCACCCATCTAGCAAGTGGCAAAGCCCAAACTTGAACAGCATCATTGTAACTAACATTTGAGTATCCACGGTGCACCAGGTACTCATTTAGTCCTCGATACGGTGTCAGGAAATAGGTCGTGTTATGATGATGATCTCACTATGAAATAGCTGGGGGACACCAGCTAAAGAAAAGCTGAGTACTTGGCCTGAGGTCACACAGCTAGAAAAGGGCAGGTGTGGGATTTGAATCCATGTCCTCTAGTTTCAGAGGCCAAGCTCCTAGTTGTGCTACCCTGTCTCTCCATAAGCTGAAAGAAAAGCCCAGGCCCTCTCCAGCATGGCAGGATGCCTTCGGGCTGTATGGCTTCCACCGGGGCAGCCGGCGATCCCCATCTGCAGCAAGCCGAAGGGATAAGTGTCTCATTGGTTCAAAGAGCACAGGCGATTTACGGCAACCTAAGTGGCTCAAAGGAAAAAAGGAAGGTGATATACTGGGGAGCTGAGAAGGAGGCTGCAAATTGGGACAGGACTTTGTTTGGTTTGGCCACTGCTACTTACTGAGCACTTTCCACAGGGCATGGACAGGAAATCCTGGCTCCCACTGTGGCTGAATGAGTAATAGTGTCTTTGAGGGCAGGGACATCTCAGAAGGGCGTCGAGACAGAGTCTGAAGTCTAACAAGTGGTCAGAGCTGCTCTAACATGACAGGTACAGGCAGGGACCACTCTGGTCTTGGGAAAGCTATAAAACCTCATCTTCTCTGTGGCTCCTGACATCTACAGCCTCTTACATGCTGAGTGCTGTGCTAGGCATCCTCTAGGCACATCCCGCTTTGTTCTCACTCCTGGGAAGCCGGCAAAGCTTGATAGCGTAGTCTTTATTTGCCAGATAGGAAGCTGAGGTTCAGAGAGGTGACATAACTTCCCTCAAATAACACAGCTAATAAGTGTCTCAGCCAGAATGACTGACACCAAGTATCTTACCCCCAAAAGGGAGTAAATTTTTTTTTGTTTTTTGTTTTACTGGGCAAAGGTAATAAAACTTTGAACCGGACCAATAATAGCATTGGAGAGAGGGAATTTGGAAGATCCATGAGGTTTAGGAAAAATTGTGCGTTCCCGGTGAGCTGAGCTCTAAGTTGCTGGATAGAGGATGCTGGATGCAAAATCGGGGAGAGTGTCCGAGGCAAATTTGCATCAGGTTTGGAGCTAGAATAGGAAGGAAAGGACATTTTTTTTTTTACAAATGGCCTCTGTGGCTTGGGCTACAGAGTAAAGGGTTGCTTGGGCAAAGCCCTTAAGGAAAGAATGCCCAGGGTGGAGAGTGTGCTCCCATAATGTGGGGAATGTGGCACCAGGAGGAAAAGGAGGAAGGACCCCTGCAGTACAGGGGTGCCCTGGCATGCATGCTCTCCATCTGCCTCACCCTGGGAGAAGGCTGCAGCAGGAGCCTCGGGCTCAAAGCCCCCTCAAGGGCCAGGGCTTCCAAGAAGATGCTTTCTATGTTAGAAGAGGCAAGAGGAATGAGCAGGTTCACCCGGCAGAACAAACAAAAAGACCTCCTTCACAAGAGCCAGAGCAAACAACAAACGTGCTAAACTGGTTTATAACGTGGTTTGGGAGGGGAGTGCAGAAAGAGAGGGAAACGCAGACTTTCCAGAGCACACAATCCAGGTCCCTGAGTGCTCTCTTTAGTCTCTGCATGCCCCCAGCTGTTCACCGGGCCTCCTGACAAGAAAGGCAGCCCTCCAGGTACTTGTTTCTCTAGCCCGTGTGGGAGAGTAGAAGAAACCAACTTGGGGGGGGGGTGGTCTGGCCGGGGATGAGCTCCTGACCTCTTCACAAATTTTTGAGGCCATCTGGATACCTGTCTGCTCAGAGCTCCCTAACTTATCAGAATTTTGCCTTGCAGGAATTTCCTGGGGACAAATGGAAACCAATAACAGGAAACAGGAAGACCAGCCAGTCAGGGAGGTAAGTGATCCCTCAGGGAGTTGGGGCGAGTTGGTGTCTCTGAGACTTCTATAGAATTGCTAAGACCTTGTGTTTGCTCAGTTTCCTTTGAGGAACCCGGCCTGGTGTCCATACCAAGAACTTGATACCATAGATGTAATCTAGCCCGCCCCCCAGGCAGCTGGGCTACAGACCCAACTGATCACTAGGACATTTTGGAACATGGAGTAGTCAGGCACTATCGTGGGACATTGGGCCCATCAGCTCAGAGGCCTGGGGCAGGCCTGCCCAGGCGCAAGGACGTGTGGGAGCAGATCATGCCGAAATATAGATGAGAAGGCATAAACGATGCCCTCCTTCCCAGCAGCCATTGGGCAATTGGAGAGGACAGAGAGGAGGTAAGACCGTCCGGCTACCGCTGTGCCTTTGCCTCAGTTGTTGGAGGCACTTGTTTCTTGGGCTCAGCCACCGTTCTTTTTCTAGGACTTGTTGAGAACCTAGGGTCTGCTCTTGAAAGTCCGGGGGCAGGTCATGCTAGTGATAGATTAAAATTCCTGGAAGAAGGTAGGGACATTTTTGCAAATGGCACATAGGGCTTGGACTAGAGGGAAAAGAGTTTCCTGGGCAAAGCCATTAAGGAAAAAAAAAAAATGCCCAGAGTGGAGAGTCTGCTCCTGTAATGTAGGGAACCTGGCACCTGGAACTCATGTTCCCCAGAGATGAGCCTGCCTGCTATAAGGAGTGGAAAGTTACTTTTGCCGGATTGCTCTCCATAAGCCTGGCAGGACCCTCTTTTTTGTGAAATTCCTTAATATAGTCTTTTAGCCAGTTCTTCTCCAGGCCAAATTATACAAGATAGCCCTAAATCATATTGATTCTTTAACTCAACCTCTAGAAATGAAGGGGGAACAGGGAAGAAGGCCCTTAGCCGTGCCTCTGTGTGGGCACCAAGGGAAAGGACTAGAATCTGGGTCTCTTGACCCCCAAAGAGCCCAGGGTTTTTCTGGGGGGTCTACCTTATCCCCTGTGATTTGGTGAGATAGTCAGGAATAATTTGGGCTTTCTGTTGACTCCAAAGTCTGAGAAACCTATCAGTTTCCTGGTTGGCTATGAAAAAAGGGAACATTTATGAATAATCTGTCAGTCACTAGGCTGGACCCTTTTTAACTCATAGTCTCATTTATTCTCCACAACAGTTCACTTTTTACCTATTTTATAGGTGAGGTCCAGAGAGATTATACAACTTAGCTGAGGTCAAATGACCCAGTTTTGTCTGGCCCCAAAGTTTATGCCTTTCCCCTTATAAGTGCATCAAGTAGGATCCCTAAGGAAACCTTTCAAAGGGATCCCTCAGCATCATGTCTTAGAAGTCTGAGGCCTGGGTGGGTGTGCTATGGGACTCTATGGATGATCAGATTCCCCTCTGTGGACTGACTTGTACCATGTCCTTAGAGAGATCATCTCAGTCTGGTGGGTCTGCTGAGTGTCCCATATTAGACTGAGACCTTTGAGAGAGGAGACTGCATTTTGGCTGTAGACTCCTCTGTGCCTAACACAACGCCTGACTCAGAGAAGTTGCTCAAGAGGTATTCGTCACTGGCTTACCAACTGAAGAAACACAGCCTCCTCCACCATCAAATGGGTGAAATGACACAAAAACAATAATGCTAACTAGCCTTTCTTGAGCATGGTGCTCTATTCTAGGCACCATTCAAAGCACTTTACAAATATTTACAGCTGACCCTTGAAATGACACAGGTTTGAATCACATGGGGCCTCATCCATGAATTTTTTTTTCAATGAATACAATACAGTACGATGAATGTATTTTTCGTTATGATTTTCTTAATAACATTTTCTTTTCCCTAGCTCGCTCTATCATAAGAATATAGCATATAATACATAGAACATACAAAATATGGGCTGATTGTGTTATCAGTAAGGTTTCCACCCCTCACCCCCCATCGTTCAAAGGTCAACTGTATTTATCAGCATAACCTTAAGGGGAAGTTATTATTAGACTCCCTGTTTGACAGCAAGAAGAGACTGAAGGATACACAGATAAATTCATTTGCCTGACGTCCCACAGGTCTGGTAAGTTGACTAGACCCAGGTAGTCTACCTGTAGAGACACTGAGACTAACCTACAGTGCCTCTCCAAACTGGTTCTCTTACCAATCAGGCAGTGAGGTCAGAGGACTTTATTCAAAATCCAGTGTATGTACTGCCTTTTTCGAAGCAAGCAGGGGAATATTAGAGAAAGAGCATCAGGAAGCACAATGCCTGTCCACCCACAGCTTGAGCAAGGAGGACTAACCCACACGAAGTTAAGTAGCATAATAATAAATTACCACTTACAAAACAACCTATGTGCTGCCAGCTAAGTTACACATATTCTGTTATGTTTTATATGCCCCAAAACTCTGTCAGCTAGGTTTTATTCTAACTAGGGCAATGGTTTTCAAACTTGAATGCGCTTTGGAAACACCTGGAGGGCTTGTTAACCCACAGACAGGTAGGTCCCACCCCTCCCCCTCAACCCCTGCCAGAGAGTGTGATTCAGTAGGTTTGGAGTAAAGCTCAAAATCTGCATTCCTAACAAGCTCTGCCAGGTGATGCTGACGCAGCTGGTCCTGGGGTCACACTTTGAGAACCACTGACTCAGATAAAGGAAGTGAGGTTCAGAGAAGTTATGGTAATTTTAGTGAAGGTCTCACGGCTACTAAAGGGACAAACCAGGACTGAAACCCAGCTCTCGCTTACTCGGGTGAGTGGCCATAAGACGAAAAGTGTCAAATACATGGTTCAAACAAGAAGCATCTGGCACGTGGTACAGGGCCAATACATGATAAATTGTTCTCTATTTAAGTTTGTTGGAGGGTAAGAAAACTGAAGACTGGGACCTACAGGAGGAGAGGCCCAGAGGGGCTAAGCAGAGTATGTTGGAGAAATAAACTTAAAGAGTTCTGGCCTTGGAATCAGTCTGCCTAGGTTCAAACCCAGATTCTTATTTTCCCTAGCTGTGTGAGCTTGGCAAGTGGCTGGTCCTCCCTCCCTCCCTCTCCCTCTCCCTCTCCCTCTCCCTCTCCCTCTCACACACGTGCTCCCTCTCTGCCCCATCAGTTTCCTTATTTGTTTTATTTTATTTATTTATTTGACACAGAGAGATAGAGAGCATGCGCAGGGGGAGAGGGAGAGGAAGAGGGAGAAGCAGGCTCCCCGCTGAGCAGGGAGCCTGATGCGGGGCTCGATCCCTGGACCCTGGGACCATGACCTGAGCTGAAGGCAGACGCTTAACCAACTGAGCCACCCAGGCGCCCGTTTCCTTATTTGTAAAATGGGGTTAGAGTACCTACCTCCTGTGATTGTGGCTAGGATTAAATGAGCAAATATGCATAAAGCATTTGGAACAAAACCCGGCACAGTAAAGCCTCAGTAAACGGTAGTTGTGACAATAAGGATGAAGAAGGAAGGTGGGGGGTGGGCAACGGCTTCAGTAATAGCAGAGAAAAGGAGTGAATAGTGAGGTATTGGACCAGGATAGGTAGGCCTCGAAAACTATATAGTATCACAAATACAGAAGCTGTTGAAGGTTATCGATCAGGTAAGTGATGTGATAAATGTGGCACTTGAGGCAACTGGGCTGTATTTGCAGGTTGAAGGAGGAACAGCTAGGGTCAGTGATCCAGGCATGAATGAATATGGCCCTGGATTGGGAAAGGGAGGTACAACAGGAACAAAGCAGAAGAGACAGATAAATATGTGTGATAGTTTGGGGAGAAAATGTTTATTATGAAAACAATATTACAGGAAATTAAAAACAGAAGAAAAAGCAGCCTTAGTCCTACCACCCTAACACCCTGATTGTTTTCCTTTCCCTACCAGGTTTTATCTATAGGTATAGAGATTTCTGTGGCAGAGTTATAATAACTATGTAGATGTGATTTTGTGTGTCCTGCTTCTTTTTTTTTCCCTCCCACTAAGCATTACTTGGTAAACAATTTTTCATGTTGCTATACAGGCTTCCTCAATAGTTATAAATTTTAATGGCTGCATATTTCACTAGCTTAATGTGCTGTAATTTGCTTAATCATTCCCAAATTGTTGGATAATTAGGTTGCTTCCAATTTCTTGCTATTATAAAGTAATGCTGCAGAAAAATTTCGAGTAGCTATAACCTTTTTCTCATTTTGAATTATCTCATTAAAAACAATTATCCAGAGTTGGGATTACTAGTTGCAACAATATGAACATTCTTATTGTTCTTGATAGATTTCACCAAACTGTTTTCCCAGGAGGCATTTTACACTGCCATGAGCAATATATAAGGATACCAGTTTCCCCCAAATCTTTCCATCTGTGGAAAATGTTTCTAATGCAATAGGTGTAAATGGCACCTAGGATAATTTTCATTGGCTTCCTTTGATTATTCTAGTTTGAAATATTTTCATGTGTTTATTTAATATTTGCATCGCTTCTCACGTGAATCGCCTGTTCAAATGATTTCCTTACAAGGAAGTGACACCTTCTGAGGGAAAAGTAGAGAGAACTGGTGACTGGAATTTGGGACAGAAAGGAAATAAGTCAAAACTAACTCTGAGCCCCAGGTGACCCAGAGAAAGTTATTGACAGAGCTGGGGTAGGTGAGAAAAGGGGGCTAGCTTGGTGCAGATGACAAATTTGAGTTGGGGCATGCCGAAGTTGAGGTTAGTGAGGAAGATAAGTGGATTCGTTGGAGGAGGTTTGTCGATCAGCCAGCCAGGGAGTAGGATGAGGAAGAAGAACCAGCAAAGGAAACTGAAGGAGCAAGCAGCTGGAGTGACAGAAGAGGTAGGCCAGTGCACCATGGCAGAGGGTAAGGAGAGGACTGCTACTGGCTTTGACAATTTAGAATCACAAGTGACCTTCAGGAAAGCAAGTGTAGTCAAGTGGTGGGCCCAGAAAGTAGATGGTATGATGGCCCGTAAGGGGGATCTTAGAAAAGAAATGTACCGGGCTCTTTACACGTCATAAATTTACCT